ACAGGGTGCCAGCTCACAGGAAACCAAAGTTTATTTAGAAGGAGAACTAGCTTCCCGACACGATACCTGCTTACTGGCCATCCCCGCGTGTCCTGGTCTAGAGTGCACACCTGAGATGCAGGGGGTGGAAGTGGCAGGGTGTGGCTGTTGGGTGGGGCACATTTCCAGGCTGTGATAGACCGGGGCCCCCTGACTCATCCCAGAACCACCTGGATGAGCATGAGCACACCCGCAGCCACCAGACAGGCCGTCTTGCCTATTGCCGGCCACCAGCCGGGAAACGTTGTCTTGCCTGACTCACGAACAGTCACTCGATAAATATTTGTTAAATAACCGGGTTCCTGGGGCAAGCAGGTTTAATGTCATCTACTCCTTGTTCCCTTCCTCTCCTCTAGCTTCCAGGAAGACCCACTCCCTTCTCCCCTGGCCGGGATACTAGTCACTGGACACAGCTCTGCTTACATTGCTTGTTTTATTCTCCTGGATGGAGAAGCCATAAAGGATCTTGGGAAATGCTCTGTTCTCATCTTTAATGTGTCCACCTGTTGTCCTCCTGGCGTGGCCCCTTCCCCACTTGCCCTGTACATTGGACGTAACTGACACCCCCCCCACAAATAGAACAATGGCCATTATTACCCCCGAGTGGCTCAGCGATTCTCTCTATGCCCCAGTGCCAGCAGCTTGTGCCCCTGGACAGAGGTCGGGAGCACATCTTCCTCCGGAAGTGTGATCATCCTCTGGTAGCTTTGTTATTTGGGGTGTTTTTTTCCCCTGCATGAAATTTAGTGTTGTCTGAGTGATTTCGGTTTTCAGCTCCTCAGAAAGTTAGGTGCTGGCTTCCCTTGAAGGACAAACCGTTCAGCTGAGCAAGTCCCAGGCAAAAGTACTCCTCCCTATACACCCAATCCCCGGGCTGAGGCTCAAGGGAAAGCTTGCCGGCCTGGCCCCCCGAGAAGCGGGCTGGCTATTGGGTTCAGGGGAGTCATAGAAGGAAGCAGCCACCTCATTTTCCTGCCTCACAGGAACTTGGCAGAATTCCAGGTGTTTGGTGGCCTGACTGTCACACGGCCCTTGGATAAAATGCCCCATCATGTTCTTTCCCCTAAAAGGTTTATGAAACCAGAGGACTCAAAATTCCATTCAAGAGCTGCTTTCTCCCTTGTCCATCCTGTGGGCTCCTTGTCACTGTCCACTAGTTTGGAGGTGCTCCCACCCCATCCCCACCCTCCCTGTCATTCAATCCTCCTCCACAAGCTCCTCTCTTTGGACATTCCCTTGTGAGGTCTCAGGCTGGCAGAACAGCAGGGCTTCCTTGGAGAACCTTCCAGGATCTTCTGTGATTCCTGAAGTGAGTTTCCTAAGGGAAGTGCCAGGTATTCGTCTTCTTTCTCTCTGCTCATCCTCCCCCGTCATATTTCCACAAGTTGTAACCTGGCATGCCAGGTTCTTAGAGCCAGAAATATGACAACTATTCAGATAAGCCAATGGAATTTGAGGCACAGGTCCAGGCCATGCTCGTGAAGACTGCAGAGCACACGTTTCAGCTAGGCCTGTTGCTCGCCAATGAGTGTAGTTCAAGTCCCACGTTTAGCACCGCGCTGCACAGCAGGAGCAGCTGAGAGCCTGGAGCTTCTTTGGGGAATGAATTAAGAAATCTGTTCAGGGGCCTCCCTCGTGGTGCAAGGGGTTAAGATGCAGCACTCTGAAGTTATCTGCAGCCACAGCAGCACGAGTTCAATTCCGGGCCACATGGTGCAGCAGACCTCTCCTGTCTTGCCCGCTGCTCCCCTCAGCAGTGCATTTCAGTAGATCTGCCTGTTCTGCTCCCCACTCTGTCTCTGGGGAATCCTCTCACCACCACCCCACCCCTGGCCTGTACCCCAGTTCTTCTATGTATAAATAAATCTTAAAAAAACAGAAATCACATTCAAAGTACATTTCACTCTTAAAGGAATACTGTGCTAAGTATTGAACACGAAGGACTTTTTGTATGATGAAAAGTTTTGTTTCAAGTGTAAAGCGCTTGAAGTCAGCCTAGGGTTCCCTAAAATTGCAAAGCTTGGTGTGATTTTTGTTGTTTCTGTTTGTTTGCGGCAATATCCTGTAGTGAAAACAGCTGGGGGTTTGGATTAGACCCGTTGTGAACCCTAGTTCTGGTATATTCTGAAGATCATTGTCGTGTAAGGAGTTGTGGTGACTGAATGAGGGGACTGTGACCTCAGAGCCCTTGGCGGGGAGGGGGGGGATGGTGATGGAGGGGCGTGGTGTCCCTCCTGCTGTCTGCCCAGGTTTTGGGGTCTCCGTGAGTGTCTGCTATGGAGTTATTCATTTCAAAGGCCAGAGGAGGCCTGGGTTGTATATCTTTGCTCAACTGGGGTTCTGTTCTACTCCCTGTGCCCCAAATTAGTTTCCTCAGGCTTGGATACTTTCTGGGCATGCGCTTTTCTGTATTCAGTGCTATTTTGGATCTCATACGCCAGGCCAGTGTGAGCGACAGACCTGCCTCACCAAGGCCCGGACAGAGGCTGATCTCCAGTGGATGTCAGAGGCGTCTGAAGTCAGAGTCTTAGCAACCCCGAAGATCCAGGGCCTCCGAAACTGGCAAGAGTTCCGGGGAAATCTCAGGGAAATTTGTTCAGCGCATGATTAATCCTGAGTGGACTGGTCCTGGAAAGCGCGTGTGCTTTACGGCAAGCAACAGCCTGCAGGAATTTCACAAAACAAATTCCCCAACAGAGAGGCCCAGAAGGACGTGTTTTGGATGAAAGTTCAGCAGGAGGGTGGAGCCTGACTTGGAGGGAAAAACCGCCAGATGTGGGGGACCACAGAGCTCTGAATCCACTAGCACTCAGAGCCAACCCATCCGAATTATAAAACTGAACCCGATAAAAACACTCAGATGAGAGAAGGGCAGTAGGGTGGAAGAGAATAAAATTCAACACCATAATTACCCCCAACCCAGTTCCCCAAGAAAAGCTGACAATAGCTCAGTTCAATGAAGTTATTCATCCATATTCAAGCTGCCCGACTCATTATCCTCAGACAAAACCCCTCCAGGGCCTCAGCTTCTCACCACAGCCCAGTGACTCCACATCACACCCAGCCAGCCCCCCACACTGCTGGGGGGGGGGAGGGGGCTGCTGCTTCTTTTTTAACAGGGCAGTTCTAGGATCCACGTGACTGTTTTCTCTGACAAGGTTTACCACCCTCCCTACCCGCCCCACCCCCATAGTTGATATGGGAACTGGCTTAGCCTTCCCGACAGCTGCCCCTTCCTTGGAGAAAGCAGAGGCTGTCACCCCGCTGCCTGGGTGGGCAGCAGCAGGGCTGGGGTCAGTGGGGGACCCTCCCACATCTTATATCACAGGCCCCAAATGTCTGGTCAGAGAGGAAATGTGGCTAGAACACCAGGCCGTGCACATGGCCGCAGAAGGAGAAGTTCCAAAGATAGGAAGCCACAATTAGCCTCCGGGGCCTCGGAAGAGTCACCGGGAAGCAGACAGCCCAGCCCAGGTGGACACCCTGTATCATTTCCCCAGGCTGGGTATTTTGGTCCTTTAGTGGAATTATACTAGGTTAGTCTACTCCTCCCTCGAACCACTCCCTCCAAGGAGTCCTCCGGCACGCTCTCCACCCTCAATCTGGAAATTGTCTAAGAGTTTACCTCTCAGGGGCACCTGCTCAGCAGCTTTCGCCTCCAAAGATCACGACTTAGCTTCCTATTCCTTCACCCAGTCGGACACACCTTGTTAGAGCAGCCTGCACTTGATGGCGCTTGGCAGTTACTGCTTTTGTATTTTGTTGTTGTTGTTGTTTTACAAATTGCAGGTCTCTGACCTGGGTGGGGGGCCTGTGGGCCACAGTTCCAACAGCTCAAAGGGTGGATAGCATTTCTTAGCAATAAATATTTTTAAATGAAGGTACAGACTTCTTTCCCAGGACATAAAGCTACTACACGCTTACTAGGCTGCACTATGGCAGAAGCATAATGTCATATGCACTGGGAAGACAAAACAATTCGTGTAACTTACTTCACTGTGATACTGGCTTATGGCAGTGACCTCAAACCCAAACCACACCATCTCCACATGCGCCTGCGTTTAGAGAATAACCATGTGCTGGCATTTGTTTTTGCCCAGGCAATGAGGGTTCGGACATAAGACAGAGCTGTGCCCTGGGGGGCTTCTATTCTATTGGAGAAACATAAAAAATAAAACCCGAAAAAAATAAAATATTGACAGATGTTCAGGGATGCCACCAACATAGCAGGCAGGGCTGGAGGAGGCAGGGATGAGAAGGGAAGGGGTGAGGGAAGGGGGTGGGCGTGGTGCTGATGCGGGGGCTGCGGGGCCACCATCGCAGGCTGAAGCCTGCGGAGTAACCAGCGCTCACTGTGCGGCTGATGTTGGCCAAGGTCAAGGCAAGACCCCAGACCAACTTCAGCCTCAGCGTTCACAGCTCCTCCCCATTCCTTCATGCTGCTCAGGAGGCTCCCCACTTCAGCCCTAGCGCACAGCGATCCTGTCTACAAACCCTCTCCATAAATGGGGCTCCCCAGTGTGCCCAAGATGGGGCAGAGGCAGAGTATCCTCCCAGCCCCCCAGCACCCCTAAAAGTCCCCATCTGAGGCTCTGTGTCCTCCTGCTGGCCGGACAGCCCTGTCCAGCCAGGGGGAGGGGGCTGGGGTCCCTCCCAGCCTGATCCCTGGGAGCGAGCAGGGGGCGCAGGAGGGGGATGACCCAGAGGGATGCCCCCTCCCTCCTTCGCTGCCCCTGGATTCCGGGGCTCCTCCGGGCACCCCGCTCAGCTGATTCTTCCGGACTTGGCACCGGCGGCACCGGTCTCCCGCCCTCCTGCCGGGCCCTCCCGACGGGCGCGCGCTCCCAGCTCCCCTCCGCGCTCCTGGGCAACTTCAAACAGCAGGCCCGGCTGCCAGCAAGTCGGGGCGCGCGCGCGGGTCCCCTCCAGCAGCCGGCGGGGGCCGCTCGGCCGGGTCTTACCTCCTTCTGCCGGGAGCCAGAGCCAGGCGCTCCCCAAAACGCAGAGCAGCGCGGGGACCTTCCACATCTTCTTGGCCGGCCTGTCTGCGGCGGGGCTGGCTTCGGGGCTGGGGCAGGAGCAGCAGCCGGGCCCCAGGGCTCCCCGGCAGGCCGCGGAGGGGGGCTGGGATGAGGGGAGCAAAAAAGAAAAACTCCCCGGCCCCAGAAGTTTGCCAAGCTCGCCTCGCCCGCCCGCAGCTGCTGGAGGCGCAAACTTCGCAGCTGGGAACTTGGGGAGCGCCTGAAGCGAGCATTTATCACCCCGCGAGCGAGCGCGGGCGCGCAAGGTGGTCCCGGCCCGGCCCCGGGCCCGCCCCCCGCCTCTGTTTGGCCAGCGCCGGAGCCCGATGACCTCAGGCCAGGTTTAAAGTTACAGGGCCGGGCCGAGGCCGCCGGGGGAGCCGGGCGAAATGGGCTTTTCTGCTGCTCCCCAGCAGGAGGGAGAGGAGACGCGGGCAACAAGCAGTTTGTTTTTTTTTTTTTTCTAATTTTTAAACTTGATTTATTATTGTTTGCAAGAGGAAGGCAGAACCCTAGATTCTTCTAGGGAGGAGGCATAAGCTGTTCCTTGTGTGGCCGCCCCGCCGCGCGAGGAGCGTTCCTGTAAATCCTGAATTTGGTGACAGCAGCTGGGCTCGTCTGGGTGGGCCGGGGCCTCGCGCTGGGACATTGAGCTCTTGTCCTGGGGACCCCCGCGGCTGGCGGGGCCCCCCTGGAGGGGAATCAGCGGGCCCAGAGGGTCTGGCAATTTGGGGGTGAGGGGTGTTCAAGGGTAAGGCAGAGATCTACCTCTCCTGGCTGTGGATACAGCGCTGGGAGGCGAGGGCGCAAAGATGGACAGAAGGACACGGGCAGCTCTGGTGGGATGAGGCGCTGCTGCCCAGGGACATCAGAGGACCCTCCTGGTCCCCAAACGTGGGTCCACTTCTTACTCCCCCTCATCTTAGGGTTTGGTTCCCTAACCCCTGCTTTCCTGGTTTGGTCAACGTGCTCAGACCTCAGGGACCAGATGTTAGCAGCAGGAAGAACTTTTATATTTTTTGCTTGATTTCCATCTGAGCTGTTAGAATCTACAACAAAAAGCTTTTTCAAGAAGACGGGTGGGCAGGTGCTTCCCAAATACCACGAATTCCTTTCAACAACAACAACAAAAAAGCCCCAAGGTGAATGCTCCCCCCTGCTGCTGATGTCAAATTTGTTGTCCATCCCTATCCTGGACTCTGACCCCAGAAGAGCTTTATCAGAAGAACGAGGTGGGGAGGTAGCTCTGCAAGCTCAGGATCCCCTGGGGTTCCACTCCCTAGGGCGCAATCTGATGCTTGCAGAAGGCGTGTCCCTTCCCCCCACCACCCCCGACCTGCCTGCAGAGATATTGGGCAAACCCCACCCCCTGCCCCTGCTTCTCCAACAGCAGCACACCCTCAAGTCACCTGGGGGCCTTCTAAGATGCAGGTGTGGATTCTGGGGTCGGGTTGGGGACTTTGGAGGGGTGCCTGCACAGCAGGAGCCCGTTTGCTGTGATTGCCTTTTCTGTAGGACCCTGCCTGCTTCTCAGTCTCTGAGTCCTGCAGTGCTCACCTGTGACCAGTTGTGCCCACCTGAACACTCAGCGGGCCCCAGCCTCTAGGGCACAGGTTCTTAATGTGTACCCAGTGGAACTGGTTCCTTTCACTTTCAAAAGTCCAGCACAAGGGGCCTCATCATCAACTCATCCTCTGCAAGTCCAGCCCTCACCTTGCGCCTACCTGATCCCAGGCCTGCTCCTGAGCCCAAGATTCCTAGAAAACTGGATTATCTCCAGCTTTCCCCCCAACTGATGTATCCTGGGCCCCACTTGCAGGCTGGCTCCTGTCCTCCAAATAGGGAGCAGCGTGGATTTCTGATCCATTGGGGTGTTCCTATGTTCCAGAGCACCCATTGCTCTCCCAGGAGACTCCCTATGCAGACTGCTCCCTCCTATCATCAAACTCTCCTGCCCCCTTGGGGGGGCGGTTTTTATGCCATTTTGCATACAGACCTCCTAAAAGAATTTTGCAAAACAAAATTTTTTTTTTTATCATGGAGTTAAAAATCAGTACGTTTAACTAGAGGGAAAACATATTAAACACGTCATTGAGAAGAAATCAGATAAAGACTAATTGTAACTGAAGATATTTCCTGATATGATTTGATAAAACTGAATATGCATAATGACCATGAAAAGATGTCCGCAAAAGTTCATTTGTGAACTTTAATTTCCACATTTTGACACTCTTTGATAGATCTGGAAAACTTTCCAGTTGCATTTAAAAGTCCCTGTCACCATTGGATATACTTTTTTTAATGATGTGCTTTTATTAATTTTTTTTTGTTTTAAGAATATACCTTCAGTAGGGGCCTCTCTGGTGGCACAAAGGGTTAAGCGTCAGCACTATGAAGCAATCTGTAGCCACTGCAGCATGAGTTCAATCCCTGGCCAGGCAGGTGACTCACATGGCGCAGCAGACCCCTCCTGACTCGCCCGCTGCTCCCCTCAGCAGTGTATTTCAGACAGTCTGCCTGTTCTGCTCCCCACTCTGTCTCCCTCTGTCTCTGGTGTATCCTCTCACCACCCCCCACCCCCCGCATCCCTGGCCCGTAGCTCTTGTATGCATAAATAAATAAATCTTTACAAAAAAAAACCACACACACAGAAAGACTATGCTGCACATGGACACTGGGGTGAAGGGAATTTTTCACCCCACAAATTGCTCCACACTAAGATTTGGGGTGCATTTGGACCTACTTTTCTGCTATATGGGGGAGCAGGTTATTGTGAAGGTATTGCATTCTCCCCAGAACTTGAGAAAAAAAAGTCGAAATTAAGGACTTGAGAAATCCTTCCCGTGCTGGCTTGCTCCAGGGAAATCTGTGCATTCTGCCAGCCTTTGAGGACCCCTGCTATCTCCTTTCCAGTAGAATCTCATCCTAACATCAGGGCCTCAGCCCATCCTACTGCAGGACTAAGCCCAGGGATTCAAGCTGGAGTCCCCTGCCCTTGTGGGGGGCCATCAGGAGCTCCCTGCATCTTTGCAGCCCCTGCCTGTGAACCTTGCTCCAGAAACAGCTGTGGAAGGGAAGCTTGTGATTTTATCTGACCTGCTAGAAGATTCTCGCATGGAGGATCCCTGCCCAGTGCAGCCCAGGGGTTGAGTCGGTGGAGCACAGACACCTGCGGCTGGCCTGGCAGGGCAGACATACCATGAACAGCGGCCTGGCGACGGCTTCTGGGATTTGTGTAATGCTGAGAAAGCCCCATGGCACCTCCCCCAACCCTGTGCTCCTTCCTCCAGGCCGCAAAATGCCTAATGGCTATGATTCCATGGAGCTTCATCCCGGGAGCTCGGGGCTTGGTCTTTTGGGGATGGCTGGTGAGTTGGCAAGTCTGCCTGGGCAGGACGGCGCTGAACCTGCAGTGTTTGGTGCTAATAAGTTTCTCTCCCTTCTCGAGAGTGGTTTCTGGGAACCAGGGGGTTTACTGCAGCACTGATGGAGTGGAGAACATTTGAGAATGAGTTAAATGTCCATCATTACAGAAATGTACATTGCTGATGATGTAAATATTTTGCCCAGGCCGTGAAAGTGCGTTTGATTAAGATGTCCAAGAGGCTGGTTTCTTGGCTACTGCCCCAAAGGGAAAAACTCACAAACTAGAAGCTCTGCGATGCTAAAGACGCATTTAACCCACTTCATACTTTCTTCTGGGCAAGGGTCTGCCCAGGAGGCCTGCTGTGGCGCACCCCTGGTGACCTGGCACCCCACACCCCTGTGGGCACTAGACACAGGGCCAGTGGCATCTGCCGGATTTGGCTGGAGCTGGTCACACTCACTGACCTCTGTGACCCGACAGAGCCGCTGCTACCACCCCGCTCAGCAGCCCCACCCAACCCCTTACTCTGGGAGGAGAACGCAGTTGGGCCTGGTTGGGCCCTCTGGCTCTCTTAGGGTGAGGAGCAAGGGGCGGTGGGGGCGGTCTATTAGAAGTTGTCTCGGGTCTATTAATAACATCAGGCTTTTGCTCAGAGCTTCAGCAGTGGGGACCTACAGGCTCCTGTGCACTTTATCCTCTTGGGGAGCCCTGGGGCCTCTCTGCTGGACAGAGGAGACCCACAGACTTGGAGAAGGGAGAGCACGGACTAGGCCCAGGGGGCAAAGGCCCCCTTTCTGGGAAAGGTGAAACACCCCCTTAGTTCTCAGCTGCTGACATCCAATGAAAGGCCCCACACTCGGGACCAGGGGACATTTTTTTTGTTTCCACAACAACAAGTTTCTTATTTACATCTTCCCGGTCTCCCCCAGCCAGAGAAAGAGCTGCTGAACCCTGCAGGCTATTTGAACTCAGGTCTGCTGGGTGGTTCTGGAGAAAAAGGTAACTGATTCTTGGTTTTGGGAGCAGAAAGTCAGTTTTTTATTTTTTTGTTTTGTGTGTTTGGGATTTGGGGTTTTTTTTTTTTTTTTTGTTATTTGTTTTTTTTGGAGCAACACTGAGTTTTTAACAGACAGACAAGCAGGGGGAGATGGACTTTTTTTTTTACTATTTAGACCGAAGAGCACAGAAAGCTCCTTTCATCGGTGTGTTTCCAGCGTCCTTCGTGACCAAGACTCTGCTTGGAAAACAATCCGAATGAATCAGATTCATTCACTCAGTGTGGGAGGCTGGGAAGTCGCGTAGGGACAGGGCTGCAGCCTGGGGTTTAGTCCGCTGCTCTCTAGAAGGGTGTGGACTTCAAGGGGACTCAAGCTGGATTCAAGCCCAGCTTCCCTGGCCTCAGTTTCCCAGGGTGATAATGTTACAGGGCAGGGAGAGAAGCACCCGAGACCCCCAAACCTGGCCCCTCTAAGTAGGTTCTGCCATCCCCACATCAAGACAAAACATACTCTACTGCATAAGACCTTTAACGGAAAGGAACTTTGATGTAATGAGTGTGCAAGAGAGAGAAGGGGAAAAATAGATAAAATAGTTTCCAAACCAAGCACCTGAAGTTATCCATCCCCTTGTGGGTAAATGCCCAGTCAAACAGGGTTGGCCCAACGCAGGGCAGCTGAGGCCCAAAAGCTGCCACACGTCTAAGGCACCTCCTGGTGGGGACCCATAGGAAAGTGCCAGAAGGGGCCAGGCAAGTCTGGGAGGAAAAGAGTAAAATTAAGATCAAGATAAACACTGCCACTGCTAACCTACCACGGGTCTCTCACCCACGTCCATTTCAAGCGTCTCCGTTCTTGCCCCCACGACCCTGGTACTAGTCCAAGGCGGAGAAGCAAGTGCAGCTTCTTCGCCAGTC